TGTGAGCTACATGGTTTCACGATGATCAGTTCTGAGCTCCTCCTGACATTATCTGTTGGCCCCAAGCATGGTAATGATTTTTCTTAGGCAGAGACCACAGCAGATTATATTGAAATTATCTTGAATTACTTACTTTCATCTTGATTACTATTCCCATTTACCTCTACACTCCTCCCACACATGCCTTGAGCAACTACCAGGAACTATTACAGTCCAAGCTTACAAGAAGAAGAAGTAATCTGATTACACTGATCTTTTTTATGGATCAAAGAACAAAACCTATATCTAATCTAGTGTGCCAAAGATACAAATAAAACAAAGGGGCTCAAGATTTGCAAAAACAAATCAGGAAGATGCAAACCAAAAAACACATGAGATTATGATACTGATATCAGAATAGAATGCAGAAAAAGTTAGGGGAAAAGCATTGCAAAATAAAAAAAGAAAGCATTGATAATGATGAAAGCAGAAATCAGTGACTTGGAAAGCAGAAAAATGGAATGAGAAGTGAATAAATCCTAGGAATGGCATCTTTATGGGGAAGAAAAAACTCCTTCTAGACAAAATCAAAACATGCCTAAAAATATTAAAATGCACAAAATTGACATGAGAATAGAAAACTAATATGCATAAAATAAAAAAAAAGAAAACTAATATGCTCGAGGCTCAAAAGAGGAAAATTTAAAAGTATTTTTCTTAATTTTATGCAAAATTAGCCAACAACTTAGAAAATATAACAAAATAAATTACTTTAGTTGTCTTAAGAATAAATAGAAAACCTAAACTGTACAAACATGAAAAAAATACAGAAAGTTTTCTAAAAATCTCCTACCCTAGCCCCACAAAGTGCTAGGTCCAGGTGACTTAATATGGAGCAACTAAGTGAGAGATATCATAGAATCTCCAGAATTTTTTCATCATTCCAAACTCAAACTCTGCATCCTTGAAATAATACCTTCATATTACCCTTCTTCTCATCCCCTGGTAAGTAGTGTTCTACTATCTATCTCAAAGAATTTCTTTATTCTGGTACCTCATATAAGTGGAATCCAACAGCATTTGTCCTTTTGAATCTGGGATATCTCAAATAGCATAATGTTGGTAATATCAATTTTTAAAGTGAGCACAAAATCAAGTATCTATGTATTTCAGATAAACTAACATGAAAGAGGTATATCAAATTAAATCAGAAAAAGAAAACCAATTAAAGAATAAGAAACAATTTTAATTAAAAAAAATAAAATAATCAATACCTTCAGGTAAGTAAAAGATGTGTTATTTGTACATCAATAACTGGTTAAGATTTTTT